TCCTGCCGAGGTGAAATGCCCAATCCCATCATAATCTGTGCACCACCGAGGGTCGAACAACACTAACCACAGATGTATCTATCTTGCCGAGGCGAACGGACCGATCCCATTAGAATAAGAAGCTTTGACGGGTCCTTGACCCCACTCACGAAGGAACATGTGAGTTATAAGGAGCTTTGAGGAAACCTTTCGATGAGAACGCATAACGCGGGAGAAATTCGTAAGAGGAGTACAATTATTCCGCGAATCATGAAACTCGTAAAATATCTACAATAGCAAGTCTATCACTCTACGTCCGTCTAGTCTCAAGAAGTAATGCGAAGTAAAAGAATTTAATAAGCAAGAGATAACCCAAATAGTATATTTATACCATGGCGTGGACCTGAGTCTACCCGGACAATAACATGAATATAGCTACGTACGGACTCTCGTCACCTCGTGCGTACGTAGCCCCCACAACAAGTAACACATAGAGGGTAGTTTTACCCTCATAGAGTTAGATAGAAGACTTACTTCACTTCAAAGTTTCATAACTGGATCCAACGCCGCTCTAACACCTCAAACCAGTGCCCGTCGCTCCAAAACCAGTCACGCAATGTGCAAACAATAAAAATATACTCTAATACTCATAATAAATCAATTTATAACAATTCCAAATTCCGCTCGAAAAGTCAATAAAGTCAACCCTCGAGCCCATGTGCCCGAATTTTGAAAATTATTAAAAATAAATATTACCCATAACATATATGGTCTATATCCAGAAAATCATCCAATTTCGTCCATAAATCGACCCTCAAATCAAGGATACCATTTCTCAACTTTAGGGCTCAAAATCCCAATTTCTACAATCCAAACATAGATAAAAAATAATAACCAACGGAAATAATCATGGGGAAACATCAAAATAAAAGTCATATATTTACCCCCTTGTTGAGATGAGAACAACAACGCGAAAATCACCTCAAACGGAGCTCTAGAACTCAAGATATGCCCAAAATACTTAAATTCTCGATTTAAAATACTGTCCAGGCATTTTTTTCTTCTTTGCGTTCGCGAAGAGCAATTCTTAACATTGACCGTTCAACCCAGACTTCCTTCTTCCCATTCGTGGGACCTCCCTCGCGTTCGCGAAGAACAAAGTCCGCACCAGAAACCAGAAATCTTTCTTGACACGGAAATGGGCATAACTCTCTCATTCGACATCGGAATTCGGTGATTCTTGTTGCTATGAATATGTAATTACGATAGGATCTAATGGTTCATCCACTCACAAATCAAAAGTATTTTTCCCAATATGGTACCCTTTATGTCCAAAGAAACGACGTTGAAACATCAAATAAGAGTGTGATACAATCCAAACACATCTGAAACATAACCGAGGCCCCTGGGACCCTGTCTAACCACACCGACTCGCTCCATAACATAACACGGACCTTCTTGAGGCCTCAAATCATACCAAATAACATCAAAACTACGAATTGTGCACCGGTCCAAGTCTAATGAACTATTGAACTTCTAACATCAACATCCGATGCTGAAACCTATCAAATCACGTCCGATTGAATTCAAATTTTGCGCACAAGTCACATTTTACATTACAGACCTACTCCAACTTCCGAAATTGGAATCCGACCCCGATATCAAAAAGTCCACTCTCGGTCAAACTTCCGAAAACCTCCAACTTCCAACTTTCGCCAAATGACCCCAAAATGACATACGGACCTCTAAATCCACATCTAGACGCGCTCCTAAGACCAAAATCACCATACGAAGCTATTCCCAGGCTCAAAATTCCAAACGGACAACGATAACACTAAAATACACTTCCAACCCAAATTTATGAAATTATTCCAAAATGCCAACTTTCCATAATAGGCGTCCAGACGCTCCCGGATCATCCAAAACCCGATCCGGACACACGCCCAAGTCCAAAATCATCATATGAACCTGTTGGAACCTTCAAATCCTAATTCCAAAGTCATTTGTTCAAAAGTCAAACCTTAATCAATTCCACCAACTTAAAGCTTCCGAAATTAGAATTTTCTTTCCAAATCAACTCCGAACTCCCCGAAATTCAATTCCGACCACACATACATGTCATATTACCTGAAGTGAAGCTATGCAAGGCCTCAAACCGCAGAATGACGTGCTAGAGCTCAAAACGACCGATCGGGTCGTTACATTAAGTGTTCGTTGAAAAAGAGAACTTCAAAATTGAAAGATAAATCTCTCAAAAAGTTTATATCTCGTCAACAAATGAAGTAGGCGTTTGGACATAAAAATTATAATTTTTTGAAAAAAAGTAGTATTTGGAATTTGAAATTATGTTGTACATACATTTCACTTGAAAAAATGTTGCATTTTTGCGAGTGAGATTTTTTGTTTTTGTTTGAAAAACTCATTTTCGAAAAATCTTCATAAACTTGCAAAATTTCATGGACAAACACATTTTTGAAAAAAGAATTCTTTTTATGTACAAACGGGGCCGAAGTACAAGAAGAAGATAATAAAATTAATCTTAAACTATCACTATAATAAAAAAAATGCAAATCGCATATCTATAGAATAAATATAAGTATATAAAAAGATCTATGCAATAGGATGAATGATACAAAATTTAAAGATTTTTATCTTGTCGTATATAACGTAAGATGCTTATAATTGTAACCAAAGCAAGCTTCTTGGATTGTGCAAAAGATATTGAAAGCTAAGAACTACGTTGAGGATGCTGGATATGCAGAAGAAGATGTAGTGGGAATGGAAACGTTCTCCATCAAGGCCATGTATATGCAGCTTAGAGGAGACTTTGCTAAAGTGTCATGGAGGAAACTGGTGTGCAATAACGCTGGGTTGCCTAAGTGGATTTTCGCACTATATCTGGCTGCTCATAGACGACTATTAACTAAGGACAGATTGAGGGGATGAGGCTGTTTGGAAGATACAGCTTGCTCACTCTGCAATACAGAAGAAGAATCCATTGATCATCTCTTCTTCAGTTGTTCTTATTCATCACGAGTGTGGACAACAATGTTACAGTGGCAAGGGATACATAGACAGGTGATGCCATGGGCAAATGAGATAGCATGGGTTGAGAGACACTACCAGGGAAGGAGCACAAAAGCTGAAGTATACAGGCTAACACTTGCAGGCTGCTTGTACTATATCTGGCAAGAAAGGAATGGCAGAATCTTTCAAGCGAAGCAACGATCAGCAGCAGTACTTAGTAGATTAATAACACAAAATGTGCATGGTCGAGGAGCTTCTAAGTTGAGACTACAGAGAAGATTGATGGATCTTAACTACTATCCTTCTATTCAATTAGATAGTTAAATAGTAGTATAGCAGTTAGTAATGAGGAAGGCTAGTTGAATAGCTACATCTAGGGCTTTGTCTAGATCCGGCTTGAACAGAACAATATATAAATATTACTGGTAAATAAAATTTTAATTACCGAAAAAAAAATATGGCCAAGGACATAAATAATGCAAATACAATATTAATTAAAGTTTACTATCAACTTGGGTCATCGTAAAAAAAAATTATATAGTCAAATCATATATTCCTCTACTGCTCAGAAGGCTGAATTTGCAAAAACAAGATATTTTGCAAACCATAGAACAAACGCCAGACTAATACTACTATTGTAGTACTGTAGTTAGTAGCTAGTAGGTCAGCGGTCAGACTTAACGGACTTGCAAGTGGCAGCAGTCTGGACTATGAACGTTTCCAGGACGTTCTCGTAGAATATTTAGGACCTATAAATATTCTAGAAAACCCAATTTAGAAATGTCACCAACAGCGGACGGAGATTTGGTTTTGTACACCCTAATAATGTTATCTTAGTGATATAACTTTTTTTCTTAGTATGAGATCGGTATATATAAATGACATATAAGATCTTTTCTTAGGTCAAATTCGACATCTACGGACAACGGGGAAAATTCATCAGTTTATAAAACCTGCAGGTCAACTACCACTGTTGCAGAGCAATGTACAACCAGGAGTACACATTTTATTTGTTACTTAATTAACTGCTTAGCACAAATTAAATATGTTATTATGGTATAAAAAGTTATTCTATTCTGTATAATATAATAATATTCTTTCTTCGTTTGTCAAAATAATACTCCTTACGGTAACAAGAAAATACATTCAAATGGTTCACTTTGCAGCCGTCTACGTACAATGGGAAATTGGCCCTATAATTGTTAGGGAATCATTTTAGTTTTTAGTCTAAAGATAAGAACAATGTTACGCAACGTCATGCCTACAAAAGCCCAGAATCATTAATTACATCCAGTTGGCCATTTCATGCATACATAATTACATACGTCAACAACAGTATATATCCAGCTCGTAATTAGACCCAAGGAAGAGTAACGAATGACAGTCAACGTTGGCAAGTTGGTAAACACGGCTGCTGACTGCTGATAAACCTAAAAGCGTCTTCTATTTTACTTTCCCGAGAGAAGCCATTGGCAAGTTGAAGAAAAAGACCCAAAACACACTTTGAACTGTTCAACAGTGTGTAATAAGCTGTAAGTTATCAGAAACAAGTACCGTTTAATTTGTTGTCGTAAATCATGAACCATTGGCAATTGAATTTAAGTTTTATGCACTTGATAAAAAAATATTTACTGTAGTCACTAATTTATAACAAATATTAGTTAATATAATAAAGTTGAAAACTAATTTGTTTATCACATGTTAACCTACAACGGTGTGACAAAAATTGTCAGCTTCTATTATATTTGTATGTAACTTCTAATAACTTGTGGGAGAGTTGTTTTGACTTTTGAAGGAGTCCATAGTCTACCACTTGCACTAATAAAATAGTCCCTTAGCCGTCCCTCTTGAGAGTTGAGAGTGACTTCAGTCACCCACTTGTACTTATAATTACGTAAACAACTTCCACTTGGCCATCAACAATCAATCTCTTTCTCAAACGTGCTCCACTCTCCTTCCATTTTTCTATTTCATTCAATTACTTATGTAACCACCTAATTAAGTACCTTCCTACTACTCCTCCCGCAACTTCCCTCCCTTTCTCATCCTTTACTCCATCTCCCCATATATACTAACCACTTCACTCAATTACAATCACCAAGTTCTCAAATCTCTCTCTTTTCTCCTCTCAAATTCTTTACTGACTACTTCTTTGAGTTCAGTTGCTAAACAATATCTATCATTCTTTGTTTAATTCTTTCAAGAAAAACCAACTAAGGATATGGCACTTGAAGCTTTGAACTCTCCAAGAACCCCAACCCCACCATCATTTCAGTATGAAAACACCACTCTCAACTACCTTGAATCTTGGACAAAGGGTAAGATCAGATCAAAAAGACCACGTAGTATAATGGAACAACAGCCTACTGAAGAAGAATACTTAGCTTTCTGTCTTCTTATGCTTGCTCATAGTAACGGCAATTCTACTACCAATTCAGTAACAGCTCCCATCATATCTAAGAATTTGTACAATTGTTCAGTGTGCGGCAAGTCTTTTGGATCTTATCAAGCTCTAGGTGGACATAAAGCTAGTCACCGTAAGCAGCTCATTAACGGAGACGTCAATGAAAACTCCGCCACCACCTCCATTGCCACCGCCGGTGCCACGTCAGCTAACGGCCTTAGTGGGAGGACTCACGAATGTTCTGTTTGCCACAAGAGTTTCCCAACTGGACAAGCTTTGGGTGGTCACAAAAGGCGTCACTACGAGGGAAAGGTGACGTCATCGGACGGTGTGGGGTCTACGACTAGCCAGCGTGGATTTGACTTGAATATTCCTCCCTTGCCGGAATTTTGGCCGGGATTTCGCTCCGGGGAGGATGAGGTGGAAAGTCCTCATCCAGCTAAGAAATCGCGACAATTTCCCTTAACCAAACTTGAATTATTCTGAGAAGTTTAGTTCGTTGATTAGTTAACTATAGTACTATGTCTTTTGGGTGGGCGGGATTTTTTTTTTTTTTTTGGGTAAATATCAAATACACTTGGTGAGAGTGATTATTTGATTAATTAATTGATTCAATTATTTTTTAAACTGATCTTGCTCTGGCTATGATTTTGTTCTCTTAATTAAATATACAAAAAGCGAGTAGTCAGTCTACATTGTTAAAGCGTTAACTATTTACTAGTCTTAGTATACGTGCGTTGTACGTGTGCCTAGCGTCAATCAATAAAATATTTATATGAAAAGAACATGTAAATTAAGTTTTAAAATATGTGCCTAGCGTCAATCAGTAAAGAACATGCAAAGAGTTTTAAAATGACTATATTTAGGTAATATTTTACAATAAATAATCTAATATATGAAAAAAAAATAAGGAATTGTCATTTGTTAAAATGAATATATAAAAAAATGACAACTCACTTAGTATCATTTTTTGTCTTATATTGTTTCACCCTTATTACGTAAAGTTTGCATTTTTACACTTAACTTTTAATACTATATTATAAACGGGTTCTTATGAAAATTTCAGAAAAGGTGATTTTTTTTATTTTCATTTTTGAAAATTAGTTAATTCAAAGACATTTTTTACCAACCAATCTCTTTCTTTTATATTCTTAAAATTAAAAATATTTTATTAGTTAAGCTTGACACTTAAATTTTAAAAATTTTGGAATTAATGAATTTTGAGATTACTCCCTGACATTGTTTAATAATCAAAACTTTAATTGATTTTAAAAAATTTAAAATATTAGAGAAATAATTAAATAATTATTCATTGTTTACCAATAGTTCAGAAAAGAACTCCTAAACTTGAAAAACTGAAAAAGAAAATAATGTGTCCTAAGCAAAGAAAAGAAAAACAAGGACTACTAAACTAATACTCGTAAACATTAAAAGAAGACNGTCGGTTTGGTTCGAACGTCGGTTTGACCACGTGGGCCCGGGGCGTTTTGGGAAATTTTGAGTGAACCTTTGGGAAATTCACTTTTCATGCATTCAAATTTATTAGATTAGCCTTTGTTGATACACTCAAGTAATTTGTGACTAGATTCGAGCGGTTTGGTGGTGAATTCGAAGGGTAAAGCTATACTAGAGGATTGAGTTGAGTTTGGAGCATTTGAGGTAAGTGTTTGATCTAACTTTGGCTTGAAGGAATAGGATTAGAGTGTTATTATTTGCTAATTGCTAAATGATCGAGTACGGTGTATAGGCATGGTGACGAGTATCTATACACCGGTGTCTAGCATGACCGTGGGTCCTTGTATGCACTTATCCTGATATTGTTATGACTCCTCCTTGTTAATTGATGAATTTTATGCAATGTGAAGAGTATGAGAACTAATTATGAATTACAAATCCTTTGGAGCGCTGGCTCGAACGATAAAAAGACTATTGAGTAAGAAATGAAAGCAATAGAAAGGGGTATGATTAATCCCTTGCCGGGATGGTTTGAGTATATTGACTATTCCCTTGCCGGGATGTGAAAGTATTGTTGTTGCTCCGTTGCCGGGAGTTAGCCGTTAATTGTGTAATTCCCTTGCCGGGACAGTTCTTATTATTTGTTTATCCCCTCGCCCCGTTTGGTTGCGATTACTGTTTGGGTGAGGAAGAGTGATAATGCACAAAGGGTCATTCCGTGCCATGTTTTGATTATATTGCACGAAGGGTCATTCCGTGCCATGTTTTGATTATATTTGCACGAAGGGTCATTCCGTGCCATGTTTTGGTTATATTTGCACGAAGGATCATTCCGTGCCATGATATGAGAGTTACGTGAGGGAAAGCACGAAGGGTGATGCCGTGCACTTTATTTGATTGCTTTGGTGAAAATGAGAGTAAAAGCACGAAGGTTGATGCCGTGCAACTGTTGATTGTCCTGCTCTCATTAATTATTGTTATTGCCTTGTTTCTTATTTAAATTGTTGACTTTATCTCCGGACTGTACCTCCCCATAGTATGTTTCCCTCCCTCTTAACTGTTAAATTCTATATTCTTTCCTTGTACTGCATATATATATATATATATATATATATATACATTGAACTGCACAAGTTGATTTGGTAGTCCTGTCTAGCCTCGTCACTACTTCGCCGGGGTTAGGCCAGGCACTTAGCAGCACATGGGGTCGGTTGTGCTGATGCTACACTTCTGTGCTCTTTTGCACAGATCACGGTACCGGAGCAGCTTTTGGACCACAGCAGTAGGATATCTATTGGGAGCTGACTTCAGTCCAGGGACTTACGAGGTAGCCTAGCTGGCGTTCGCAGGCCGGAGTCCCCTTCTATGTTTCAGTTTGTTTCCATTGTACCGAGACAGACGTTTATGTATTTCTATTCAGACTTGTTTGTAGCACTCTTTAGTAGTTCGTGAGATAGCGACTCCAGTCTTGGGTAGTGAAATATTAGGCTTCCGCATTTTGGGTTTTCAGTTATCTATGTTTTGAAAGACTTCCGCATTATTTAAAGACTCGTTATTTTATTATTGTTATGTTGTTATCCGAAAATGTTTAAATGTTTGGCTTGCCTAGCTCCAACAGTAGGCGCCATCACGACTCCCGATGGTGGAAAATTCGAGTCGTGACAATTTGTGAGGGTTGTCTCAGTTATTTATAATTATGTCAAATTTAAATTATGTCGGATATTATCCGAGTAAAATTATTACTGCTTTATCACATTCAAAGCAGTAAAATATTAATCATACACGTGTTTTGATAAATCAAGTCTATGATTAGTTAAGAATTTAGAGAAATATATATATATATTTTTAACTGTTACAAAAATAATAGCAGATAATCTTTTTCCGTATATATGTGTATTATATATAGTATACATATTTTACATACTTTTTAGGAGAAACATACATATTTTTTTATCAAGTTATGGCACATGAGCATCTAATGAAAATAAACCAATCAAAAAAAAAATTTGTTAAACTTCGAATAGGAGACCTGGACGAACTTGTTTTAGGAAACCTAATCTAGACTAACATCAATCGATTGTCTTTGAGAAATTTGTAAAAGAATTAATTACTCATACTCTAGTAAAAATAAATAAATTAAAGAGTACTACAATCTAACTACTTTATTATCATGTAAAATAAAAATATTCATCTAAACTTTCTCCTATTGTTTTAACACTTTAAAATTAGATTTTATATTTTTAAAAATTATCAATTAATTATTTTCTTATTATTTAAAATTTTAAAAATTAACTCATTTTGTTTGAAATATGCAGTAACTCCTAATACTTTGGTAAAAGATACTAACTTAATTTAGTTGTAGCTTTATATGTATACTAAATACAAATTAAGGCTTTAAAGAGTAGTAAGAATTTCAACTTTGTTTAAGATATTATAGATGTTTTCCATAACGTAGTACTAAAATCCTCTTTTAGGACGTATCTATCTTTTATTATGTGCATTGTTATGAAAGAATTGTAATTAGGAACAATACTTTTCTAATTCAAGTAGGATCAACGTTGTAGGGTCGGGTATATGTATAGTTTAAATCGAAAAAGAATCCTATCATTAGGTAATTTACCATTAGATCCTTAAATTATACAAATATTTAAGGGCTTAAAAGTCGATCAATGTTTTAGGGATATTTTAGTCGTTCAACATTTAGCATAAATTATTCGTGCTTTTATAATAATATAGATATAAATATAGATATAGATATAGATATATACGACTTTTCATGCTTCAGATTTATAAATTATTATTCTAATTTTTCTTTGTAGAAAAAGATAGAGTTAATTTTTAGAAAATTTACAGGCGCATTGAAAGTTGTAAATTCTGATTTCGCTATACAAACCCCCTATTTTACTAAGTTACTGTTTTAAATGGCTAGAACAAAAGATTAAGTTAGTATAGCTCCAAAAGAACGATGTTTTATAATTAAAACCCACTCTCATTCCCTCTACAAAAGAGAGATGCAGATTCCCTCTTCCATACTCCTAAGATTAATTAAAGGCAAAACTAGACCCTTAGAATTCAAAGTTGACAACGAGAGAATGATGTGAATAATATAGGTTGTGGTTGAGAAGTCGCACGTTGTATTTAAATGTCAGAGCTAAGTAGGTTGACAAATGATTGCCGCCCTTCGTTTAATCAACTGTAATCCACTACCCTATTAATACTCTTCAATCACCGATCTATTTGCCAAGAAATTAAATTGCAGTTTATGTTTGGCAACTGAATGGTCCAATAGGATGTCGCCTACGTAAAGATTATACTCGTGGATTTCTTATGTCGTTTCTACTTTTCATGAAAAAATATAATTGAAGTGGTGGATTCTTCAAACAACAAGGGACTGATCAACTATTCAAATTAGATGATATTGAGCATAGTTTCCATCTCTTCTCGACAAAGAAGTACGCTATAACTATGCTCGACATTATGCCCTAATTCCGCATCTTTATCGTTAGTGGGGGCAAGAATCCACCCGAATTGAATTTTTTTGAGAATGTTTCGAGAGAAAATTGAATTTGGTGGGACTATATGGGGTTGGGAAACAAGGATGAACTAAATTCATTTACGTTAGCATGAATTGGCCACATTACTCCTTGTGAAAAATGAGGCTGTGACGACCCGATAGGTCGTTTTGATTACTAGCGCCATTTTCTATGTTCCGAGACCTGCCGCAGCTTTATTTGATATCATACGATTTGCATGGGTGGTCCGTGTCGTTTTTTTTTTTTGAAAAGTTATTTACCCTTAAAATTGGATAACAATTAAATGTGTACGCGGTTTTTAACGATACGTGATATAACTTGATACAAATTAAGAAGACAAATTAATATTGAAATTAACGATAGTAAAATAGAGGCAAACCACAAAATTGAACAGCCTTAGCCTCTGAGTTTGATCACCTCGAGCCAAGAAACGTCTCAACTAGTGTTAGAACTGAACAACAAGATGATAAGAACTACAAATGATTAGTATAGTGCTTTCTTTTTGCGTGTTACAATGTGTCCTAGTAATGATCAGAACCCCCTATATATAGCGGGGGTGTTCTACTTTTGGTATAATTCTATACAAGGTAAAAAATCTCATGATTTGCTAATTAATCAGCCTCTTCTTGATACGTGTCGAGATTTCCGCCGTGATCCTCGACCGATTGCGGATA